TTGAAAAGTGAAAATTGAAAATAAGTAAATAGAATGGAAAATTTCCTTTGAATGCGGTTGGAAATCTATCCTCATCATAATTGATGTGACAAATGTGTATGAAAACAGATTTTAAAATTAGACGGAAAACAAACACACTTTTGGTCACACTTCTTCTTCTTCTTCCTCCACTTGTATGCAGCTACGTAATGAAAATTTCCGAGAAAATTCTATTCTTAAGAAGAAGAACAACAACAAAAAACACAAAAAATTAAAACATCTACTAAAGTAGAACGAACGAACAAATGAAATAATTGAAAACTATGCAAAAATTCCTTCTTCTTCTTTTCTTTTTTTCGACAAAAAAAGTGTGAAAACAGACAATGAGGGAAATAAAACGAAACAAACACACCACAACAAATTAAAAAGAAATTGAAATAAAAACAAAAACTAGAGCACATTACCGCACAATGAAATTCGCGTGCTCAGCTAACTATATAAAACAAAATCAGTCAGTCAGTCGGACAGTCGACGACGCCCTCAAACCCCAAATAAACATTTTTTTGGCTAACAAGGCAAACCAGAAACAAAATGTCATTCTGGCAGCACTCGCAAATGTGGAGGAGTAGAGGAAAATAATGGCAACTTAACATTTTTGTTTATAATATCCGAACAACACCTACAAGAGATGATTTGGCAAAAAAATAAATAAATAAAAAGGTAAACAAAAAGTATTAAATAGTCGATTGGACATCGACTGGACATCAATCATCAAGTGGTGGTCAAGCAACAACGTAATTGAAGTAAATCCATTTTGGCAAAAGAGTTCCATCAAAATTAGACAAACAATTTTATGGCCAAGCGAAAGAAGAAAAAAAACCTGATTATTCTAAAATTACATGAGGTAGGTCATTGCAATGACACACACAATGGCTGTATGACAGCCAGCCACTACCAGACTAGACAGACACTCAGCCGGCCAGCCACCCAAGTGGTGGCCAGATAAAATTGAAAAATTGTTAAAATTATGTTTTTTTTTTCTGTAATTTTGACAAATCTCCGCTCATTTGTAGGATATGTGTTTTGTTTTTGCGGTTCGGCAAATGTTCAAAAGCCCAGTAGCACACACATAATTACAATGTCAAAACATTTTATTGGTCACTAACCTTAAAGTTGGGTGGAAATGCATGATTTTGGGTTTTAATGTGACAATGCCCCATAGGGGCATTAAAAATGCTAGTGGTGACAAGACCGGTGAATCTTTGATGTTTCCATTTAGACACCTAACTAAGTTCAAGATTGGATATCTCATATGGACAACAGAGATTCATAAATTTGAGGATTTGAACTTCATTGTTGCAAAAACAAATCACAGTCAATGGAAATTCGTTTTGAAATCATTTTGAAAACAGTAAGGAAAAGTTAAGAGTTGTGCGGGGCCAACTATATGATACCCTACACCACTAAAAGGTAAGGTAGAGCAGCTGATTACAATTTTTTTTCTAAGTGTGCCCGACTTCTGCCAATTTTGTATTGTGTTTATTGTTTTGAATAATAAATAAAAAAAAATATTTTCAAAATCAATGATTGGAAGAAACCTAAATTGCATGAAAACAAATTGTTGGATATGATTTTGAATAAGTCTGACAGTCTGAATAAGTCTGTAGTTTTACGAAGCTGTTCTACCTCCTTATTGTACCATGATATTTAGTAGAGCTCCCATAAGAAAAGAATTTATTTAAAGTAGATCATCCTCCTATCTACTTTTGGCTTTAGAACATTTATAATTTGGTTCCAGAGGGAACGAATATATGGATACATACCATCCAATTCTGAATCGATTTTCACTAAATTTTAACTGAGACATTTTAACTTTTGTGCCAACAATGCTATAGAGTGCTTGATATCACTTCGAGAAGGATTATATTAAAAAAAATATGCATCGGAGCCGAGATCCACGAAATCGAAACATACGTCCCGAAATTCACTCCATTTGGACTGATATTAGCCATTATTTGCACAATTAACCCGAAATCGGTTGAAGATATATATGGCAGCTATATCCAAATCTTAGCCGATCTCGATAAAATTTGGAAAATGTATTTCCGAACTCTATAAGATATCTGATACCAAATATCATTGTTGTCGAATGCATATTACTAATATGAGGGACTTAAACACCAAATCGGATGAAACATATTTAGGGTGAGATTAAAAAACTGCACCCAACTTCAGACTGCTGTCATTTCTAAGCCACTCGTCCGAGTGCTCTTAAAATTATTCCAGTGACAGCTCATAATATTGTTTATAAGTGTACAAAAGCATTTTGGTGAGAATTTTCCAGAAAAAAGTTATTCGAGATGGAATTCAAGCGTGATAGTGTGATTTCTTCATATTTGACTGGAAAAGTGGCTATCGTTAGAGCACTCCAGCATTTAAATGTGAATAAATCTTTTGTGTATCGTACCATCGCTCGCTACCGGTACCGGATACTGGTGGTGTAGCCTGCGTCAAGTAAACGAAAGAAAACAATGACATCAGCAGAAGTGGTTCGAAAAATAAAGAAGCGACTTGATCGAAACCGCGTCGCAGTGGCCGAACACATCGCACACGATAACTCTCGAAGGGGGTATCCAATTTAATCCAAACTTAGTAAATTTTAATATTATTGTCAAACTTAGATCGAGTTCGGAGATGGACAATATCGGCGCACTCCTTCTGGTAGCTCCCCCACAAAGGGTCAAATTCCAAATTCGACTCCATTCAGACTTGGCACATATTAATATTTCCATCAACAAAAGATCTGTTATAAAGATGGTAGAGATCGGACCATTTCTTTTGGTAGCTCCCAACATAGGGTTCAAGATTTTGAAAAACAAAACTCTCAAAGCAAGCGAAATAAGCATTAAACTCTCTTCAAATTTCACGCATACAAACATTTTTGGTAAAACAAAATCTGTTGGAAGGTGATATATATCTGCGAACCCCTTCTGGTACTTCATCTACAAAGGGTCACTATTTCCAATACTTATATCTGCCATAACTTGCGAAACAAGTCGGCGATTCTTTACAACTTGCTATATCTAAATATTTCTCTTAACCTGAAATCGGATATGAATATGTACTTGATCGAAATATATGATTTCGCATAAAATTGGATATAAATATTCGATCCCCTCAAATTTTGCATATATCAATATTTGTATCTGTATTAGATGAAGTATGAAAATGAAATACTTCGGTCCGCTATATCTGTTACCTCAAATATATTTCCACATTTTAAAAAAAAAAAAAAATATTGCACATATCTCATATAGGCAGTTGTCAATATATAGGCAGTTGTCGATATAGTCCAAATCTGGTACATTGTAATATTTTTATCCGTCTTAGGTCAGATACAAATTGGTCATCTGCTTCGAAACCTACTCCATGGAGGGTCAAAACAATTTGAATAATCCCAACTCAAGACTGAGGGTATACATCTGTCGGCAAAAACGACTGATACTTTTTTGCTTGTTTATATCTTTAAATGTCTTCTTCACATAGATGTCTTTCAAAAGGTCTTCTTTAGTTAGAATGCCTTTTTATAGTTTTCTTTGGACTTTTTGTAGCTAAAATGTCTCATATAGGTCTTCCATATATAGGACGCCTACACAGTGTCTCCAGCTTTGGAAGACCTATGAAAATATTCGACCTATAAAATACATTTGGAAACCGTCTTAGATTTATTAAAGATCTTTTCATATAAAATAACTTTCAAAAGTGCTCATCTGCATATAAATTCCTTTTACTTGGCTTGGCTTGGCTTCCATAGCTTAACTATGTATTCAACCTTTTATGGTTATCCTATACGTCAAAGATCTTAATAGGTCTTCCATAGTTGGGATATTATTTTCAAATATTTCTGTATTTATAGAAGACTTTTTAATAACCTAGACGTTCTTCTTTTCATGGAATATGTACTGAAACCCTTTCTTCCATAAAAACCCTTTCATATATAGAAAGTCTTCTGTACATCAATTTAAACCTAATTTAAAATTTACAACCCAACTATAAAACTGATTTAAATATGTACAGCACCATGACTAAAAATGATCAGCTGTTGTGTAAGGAAATCAATCCCTCCATACAACACATTTTCCTGGAAATTCTATCCCTCTCTTTTGTGAAATCGTTTACAAAGCCGTGTTGCATTGGCCCTAAGCATCCCTTATTTAAAAACTGGAACATGCAGCTGGTAATGAGTAATGAGAAGGATAACAATAGCATTGAAGTGTGTAGCAACAGGTTGTTGTGTAGGAGTGCACTCTTTGGGCTCATTGATACACTTCTTTTGGGATTTACCAAACAGATGTTAGATGGCGGCGAGGGCCATTGTGTGTGTGTGTTTGTTCTTTGGATTTCCCCCATCCAGAACACACAAAAAGAATCTCTTTAATCTAAGGCACTGGTGCATTAACACAATTCCAACATATGGCGGGATCCGCACGTAGGCAGGCTGCTGGCACACAAACAACACACTGCACAGCACACGAGCAGACAAAGGAATTTCTTTTGAGAAAGCAATGCCATGAAAAACAACAACATCACATGATTCCAGCCAAAATAATAAATAACTAAGAATTTCTTTAACGATTCTTCTAGACTGTAAATAAATATTGTGATAATTAATAAACCTAAATAAGACATACGGACATACCTACATACACATACCTATCCCATGGCTCTGTGTATTACCCAAATTTCTGTATCGTATATCCCCCACACAGTACCTTTTCCTCCTGCTCCTCCTGCTTTCCCAAATGATATTTAAATAACAATTGTTGCGCTATCATCGTTCCCTGCCTGTCTCACTTCTAATTCTAGTTGTGTTTGCCAAACAAAGAAACCCCCAAACCAATGGGTTGGTTTCATCACAAAATCACAAAAGAAAAAAAAACAGAAAAATAGGTGAATATTGAATAAAAGATAACAAGAATTATAAAAAAAAAACAACCGGGTATACAATTCAAAGAACATACCTGAGTTTTTTAGTTCAGTGCAGCTGTTATTGCTGTCGGTATTGATGTTGTTGTTGTTATTGTTCATCTTCATAACCATTGTGGCGGCCGCCTCCTCACTGCCATTCCTATTGGAATTGACAACACTGGCATAGGAACGTAGAGTACGGCCGTTGGTGCATGAGTCGATGCGTTTCCCATTGCTGGGGGCAATTAAATCCGTATCTTCAGAGGTAGTTTCTTCCAAAATGCGTTCAACCATTTTTTTATTCGGTTTTTGTTGTTGTTATTGTAAAGATGAAATACGAGGGGGTGGGGTTGATAGTTGATTCCAAAATATAAAAAAATACTGGTGTGGGGGAGCTCTTTAGTAGTGATGATGATATGGTGTGACGGGGTTCTATCCAAAGCAGAAAATTTACAAAACCAACTCTGCAACTTTAACCAGGAAAAACAAGTTCCTCCTCCTCTACCCTTCGCTCGTTGGAGGAGAATTTTTGTGGGCTCCAAGGAGTTGATGTGTGTGAGGGAGGAAGAAATAATACCACAGCAGTTGGCAAACAAAACAGCCTTAAATTTTTGTCACCTTTCTTTTTTGATTTACAACTTGTTGTTATTGTTGCAAGAGAAACGTCAATGCACTTTTTTTGCTCTCCGAAGGCTTTCCCTTGACAAAACACAACAATTGTTCTCGCTCACTGTTGCACTTTACAAACACTCTCGCTCGCTCTCTCTCACAATAAAATTGTATGCACAAAATTCAAATTTCGCTCTTTACGCTCTCACTGGTGCAGCTGTTGTTTATTTTTTTGTTTGTTTTCTTCGGTTTCTTTTGATTTCACACGCACACACACACACGATGATACGATGACTCTTTCAAAATGGTGGTCTGTGGATGTTTGGTTAATTTCTTTTCAGACTTTGGGAAATAAAAACTTTTTTATATATTTATTTAGAGAAGTTTTAGCGTAGTTTTGGAATTAAATTTAGTTTGTTTTGTTTTTTTTAAGATTTGTTTTAGTTTTTAAATGGAATATAAAAGAAAAGTCCAACCGCTTTGTTGTGGTCGGCGGCTGTTGTAGAAAAAAAATCGTTGCTGCTGCGGCTATGGTGACTGCGCTGCCGAAAAGAAATTCTGCAAGCGGCCTAGAAATTGCGCATCAAAATCACCCAAAGCAACGTTATGCACAGGAAAAGTGGAAAATTTTATAGATTTTCCTTTGGAAATTATTTAAATTTTGTAGATTTAACAGTTATAGGGGGCGTGGGGGAGTTAAAGAATCACATCAAATAAAACTTTTACAGCTGCCGCTGCCAGCACTACGCTCTCTGCCACGTTTGTGTAGTGCTCTGCTCTGCCCCCAAAATCTCGGACAGTTACTTTACAATTGTTGCTCTGCCACTGCTCTGCAAAGGAATTCTATTTTTAATTGGGTTGAGTGTAGAGTGCAGTGGTATTGGTGGCCAATGGTGGTATTGAAGATGAAAAAATAGTATATAGTTGGTTGTTGCTGGTATAATAAATTTTCGACTTTTCAATTTGTGGGTTTTGGGTTTGCTCCTTTCCAATCCTGGGATTGTTCTGGCTGCTATTCCAAAATTTATTGCAATTCATTAAGATTTTTTGGTTGGATGGTGGGCTGTGTTGTTGCTGTAGTTATTGGTTGGTTGGTTTTTTTAGATGGTTTTTGCTGTTGTTGATTTCATCACATACAATATGACGAGAAGACTTTTCTCACATTCGGCTGGGTCGTCATATGTATGGAAAGGTACTTGGAACTGGATGCCTGCTGCGTTGCCTTTCCTAGGGTTGCTGCTGCTGCTGGCTCTGGTAGTGTGGAGTAATATATTTAACGGAAAAATAAAACTCAGTGTAATGATTGCTTGGTTGCTAGTTTGATACAGTTGACGTTGAAGGACGTTGTTGTTGTTGCCGTCGACGACGTCGTTGTTTTTTTTTTTTTTGTTTTGGTTGTGGTTGGTTTAAAAAATTGATTTTATTTTTTTCTGCGTTGTAACTTAAAAAAACAAAAAACATTCGCTGAAGTAGCGGACAAAAGCCGTTTTCTTTGCGTTCTTCGCTGCTGTTAATCACCGTTTTCGTTAGCTACCGCTCCATTTTTTCCACGCAATCCAGTATGATGTTGATTCCGAGACTGAATAACCATCGCCAAATCAAAACCCGAAGAGCTGCCCGGACAAATGTCACAGCTAAACCAATAGACGATGTAACGGCGTACAACTGTGATTGACGGCGTTAAGCTTCGGGTTTAACGGCGTCAATTGTATATGGCATTGCCATCACGGCATGGTTTCTATCAATTATAATTTAGCTGTTAAAAATGTTAAAATCTATTGTTGGTAAACTTTTTATATAAAAAGGAGACAGTACATATGACTCTAATGGAATTGCTCTGTTTCAGAAGCTTGTTTTGGCGGTTTTTCGTTTATGTCCAATCAATTAAACATCGATTTTGACTCTTCCAACACTCCTATGTTTATTATATCATGGCATTCTGATTTTCGTTCGTCTAAAATTCCCATTACGAAAAATAAGTTCCAGTTCCGACCGATGGTGCTCGCCGACTACAATCTTATTCTCAAATGTTAGTAGGCAGAGCCTTTCCTCGGAAAGAATGCTCAGATTTGAAAATATTCACCATAATACGTTTGAAGCTAGATATTTAGTTTTTTTTTTTTTAAATATAAACATAAATGCTCCTTTTCAGAACCTGCATAACTGCAAAAACGTTACTACGATATCCATTTTTTCCTTTATGACAGCAAAAAATTGAAAAACTAATAGATTCTTCCAGATTCTGGAACAGAACAATAGTTCCATAAGGTTACCTTGATTTTTCCTACCATGGTAGAAGAATACCGGTAGATGCATCAACGCTTGGGAACATTGAAATGTCAAAAAATTTAAAATGTCTTTTCATAAATAAGTAGATTTTTATATGTTTTCTTTCATTTTTCATTCCAAATTTTCAATTCCAAAATTGATTGGACAGTTCATTGTCCCAGCAGCTGTGTCAATGCGACTACATGTATTCTTCTACAATGTTTCCTACCATGAAATTTCGAAACAATGCTATACTGTCTTTCTTGGTGTAAAGCCTTAACTGTTCGAGCGACCTCTGTGCACTACAAAACTTGTTTTTTATGCCTACAAATATTTTAAAAGGAAACGTCTAGAAATAGTTTCATAAATATACTTACCCGCATGGAATGCCATTTCATGGGGTCTATAACGAACTATTTGGGGCTTACTGCCCTCATTGTAGATTTATTCATTTTGAAAGAAGGAATTGCCTTTTTGCCGCTTTTGGAATTCGCAAAGCCAATTTTTCGATTTCCCCGGAACTTGAATTTATTGGCGTTCCCAAAGCCACGGCAAATAAACGACGGAAACACAAAATTTGACGCCGTTGCTTTTATATGCACGTCAATGATACAAATCACATATTTACTAAAAAAGAATATTAAAAACACAAATGATGACAAATAAGTAGAGAGTATTGCTGATTTACCATTAACAAAAATTAATTATATTTCGTTTATTTACTCTCATGTGTTTTCGTGACAAACGTCAAAGTTCATCAAACTGCATTGAACGCCTGCTGGTGTACATACTGAACACAGCTCAAAAAGGAAATAGTGTTGCCAACGTCCTTTTTTTACTGGTTTGCTTGTATTTATGTTACAGCATTGCCAGATACTTTTTTATACTTGCTGTTAGTCCGTTATTGAAAGAAATGAATTTATTGTTCTTCCCATGGTAGAATTAAGAAGGTTAAGTAAAAAAATCATATGATTACATTTTTTAATTATTCATTTGACAACATTTTATAGTCAACATGTATATTTATAAATCCATTGCACGTACACGAATCAGAGATGGGAACCTGCTATCCACGCAGTGAAATTTGACAATCAAAATTACAGAAAATACAAAGATGGGAATGCTTATTTGAAATGACTTTACCTTCTTAAGTTTACCTTGGCTCTTCCAATCAGAGTATGAAAATAAACTATATGAAACGTTTGCAATCGTTTCGTTTTACTTTGAAGCTCGGAATCGATACTTCAGCCTACGACAAAAAATTACTTATGCAGGTCCATAAGGTCTTCGTATATCCCCCATATAACGATTTTCATTTGAGTGATATTTTTCGACGGATTTTTTTGTAATTATTCAAAATCCTCCAAACTGGTGGAGGGTATTAAAAGTCCGACCCGGCCGAACATAGCTGCTTTTTTACATGTTTTTTATTACATATACAGGCCTAATTACGCTTTTGAATAGCCAGTGTGTCATCCTTGGATTGAAACCCCATTATGAGCCTACAGCACTTTTAAACGTTGTCCAACATCTGTGAGCTTTATTTGCTCGTTCTTGGACATACGTTTCCTATTTAGCATCACGCCCAGATATTTAACCTTATTGGAAATGTTGATTGTCCTGTTCAGGAAGACTGGTTCATCGAAGTGGCCCAGTTTTGTTTTTTCCAGCGAAAAAATATATCTTAGTTTTTCCGGGTTTACTTAAAGACCTCTTGCTTTGCCCACTTATATACGAGTTTTAGAACCGAATCGTCCCTCGTGCACAACAAGTTAGCTAAAACTGTGCTAAGTTAACCTAAAACTCCTTTATCCCCTGATGCAAATATTAGGACTTGCAAAGTTGGAGCAAAATCGAATAATTTCGACATTTTTGGACGGAGATGGACAATCTCCGAACTCGATCTAAGTTTGATAATAATAATACGATGTAGTACCAAGTTTGGACCAAATCGGATACTTCCTTCGATATTTATCGTGCGCATCAACCAGCAGATAGACAGACAGAGAGACGGACGGACGGACGGACATCACTAGGTCGACTCCAAATGCCCTGAAACGGATTTAGTCCAAACAGACCTATGGTCTAAAACCGTTATTTCGTTTTGGCCGTACCAAATGATATATACCCTCTGTAGCCATATGGTCGAGGGTATAAACATACCTTCCAACAATCTGCGGTAATAATAGTTCCCGAAAGAAAATCTTTTTTTATGAGGGGTAAAAGACTTTTTGTCGTCCTCTCTTCCTCCGGGACAAGAAAACCTTTATTGGAGCCTCTCTCCACTCAATCAAAAACCTACTGACCTAATGTCCTCTGTTGAGTTTTTTTCTTCCTATTTTACTCTCGTATATTCCTACAATTATTCCAAAATATTTTAAATTCCTTATTCCTCATTCAAAAACCTACTGACCCAAGGTCCTCTGTTGGGGTTTCTTCTTCAAATTTTACTCTCGTCTATCTATTTCTACGATTTTTCCAAAATATTTCAAATTCCTTGACCAATAATCCGAAATTTCCGTATAAACATACCTTCCAACAATCTGCGACAATAAAAGTTCCCGAAAGAATGTACTTTTTAATGAGAGGTAAAAAACTTCTTATTTGTCCTCTCTTCCTCCGGGACAAGAAAACATTTATTGGAGCCTCTCTCCACTCATCCAAAAACCTATTGACCCAATGTCCTCTGTTGAGTTTTCTTCTTCCAATTTTACTCTCGTCTATTTCTACAATTTTTCCAAAATATTTCAAATCCCTTGACCAATAATCCGAAATTTCCGTATAAACATACCTTCCAACAATCTGCGACAATAATAATTTCCGAAAGAATATCGTTTTTTTTTTGATGAGGGTTAAGACTTTTTTTCGTCTTCTCTTCCTCTGGGACAAGAAAACCTTTATTGGAGCCTCTCTCCACTCATTCAAAAACCTACTGACCCAATGTCCTCTGTTGAGTTTTCTTCTTCCAATTTTACTCTCGTCTATTTTTACGATTTTTCCAAAATATTTCAAATTCCTTGACCAATAATCCGAAATTTCCGTATAAACATACCTTCCAACAATCTGCGACAATAAAAGTTCCCGAAAGAATGTACTTTTTTAATGAGAGGTAAAAAACTTCTTATTTGTCCTCTCTTCCTCCGGGACAAGAAAACATTTATTGGAGCCTCTCTCCACTCATCCAAAACCTATTGACCCAATGTCCTCTGTTGAGTTTTCTTCTTCCAATTTTACTCTCGTCTATTTCTACAATTTTTCCAAAATATTTCAAATCCCTTGACCAATAATCCGAAATTTCCGTATAAACATACCTTCCAACAATCTGCGACAATAATAGTTCCCGTAAGAATATCCTTTTTTTTTGATGAGGGGTAAAAGACTTTTTGTCGTCCTCTCTTCCTCCGTGACAAGAAAACCTTTATTGGAGCCTCTCTCCACTCATTCAAATACCTACTGGCCCAATGTCCTCTGTTGAGTTTTCTTCTTCCAATTTTACTCTCGTCTATTTCTACAATTTTTCCAAAATATTGAAAATTTCTTAACCAATAATCCGAAATTTCCGTATAAACATGCCTTCCAACAATCGGCGACAATAATTGTTCCCGAAAGAATATCCTTTTTTTAATGAGAGGTAAAAGACTTTTTTTCGTCCTCTCTTCCTCCGGGACAAGAAAACATTTATTGGAGCCTCTATCCACTCATTCAAAAACCTACTGACCCAATGTCCTCTGTTGGGGTTTCTTCTTCAAATTTTACTCTCGTCCATTTTTACGATTTTTCCAAAATATTTCAAATTCCTTGACCAATAATCCGAAATTTCCGTATAAACACACCTTCCAACAATCGGAGACAATAATAATTCCCGAAAGAATATCCTTTTTTTAATGAGAGGTAAAAGACTTTTTTTTGTCATCTCTTCCTCCGGGACAAGAAAACATTTATTGGAGCCTCTATCCACTCATTCAAAAACCTACTGACCCAATGTCCTCTGTTGGGGTTTCTTCTTCAAATTTTACTCTCGTCTATTTCTACGATTTTTCCAAAATATTTCAAATTCCTTGACCAATAATCCGAAATTTCCGTATAAACATACCTTCCAACATTAAAAATGGTTATCTCTCTCAAAAGAAGGACGAATGCCACAAGTTTCTTATAATTTATTAAAAAAAACCATCCACCAATGGCATAACGGAATGACAGGGGCGTTGCCATTTTATTTTGCTCTCTCTTCACAAATCACGCAAAGTATCAAAAAACTTGTCCTTGTAACCAAAATCCAAAACCGTATCGAATATCCAACTAAAAGCTACATGATATCCTTTCCCATTATCCTCAATTTTTTTCTGAGCATGCGCATTATAACACAACACAAAGCATCCCAGAGAGTGACGGCCATCGAAAACTGTAACATTTTGTCAAGTGTTCTTCCGTTCAATTCAGTTACGTGTTAACTTTAAAACCGTTACAAACGTTTTCCGGAGACGAAACATTTTCAAAACTTACGACGAAACGGAAAAGTCCATTGATTTTGATATGTCGACCGGCACATCTAGTTCTACAGCGTTGGCGGCAGAAAATGTTACAGAAATTGAGGCATCATCATCATCATCACCACCAGCAGCTGTGGTTGGAACCGCGACGATCATGAGTAAAAAATCACGCAAATCTTTGAAATCATTGCTGGCGGATGGCGCCAGTGGTCCTTTTAAAGTGGCGGCTGGTGTCAGTACCAGCAATCGTGTACCCAAATGTGCCCGCTGTCGTAACCATGGCTGGATTTCGGAATTACGCGGCCACAAGAAACACTGCACCTATAAGAATTGCCGTTGTGCCAAATGTGTTTTGATATTCGAACGACAGCGTATTATGGCGGCTCAGGTGAGTTGCCCGAGATTTATACAATACAAATTGTGGAGTAAATGTAGGAAGTGTTCAATATTTCACATTTCAAAAAAATTATGGAGAATCAAAATTAAAGGTGAAATACATAAAACTCTTTTTTGGCTGGCTTAAGTCATCGGCTGGCTTTTATGGAAAAGAGAAAGAAGCATAGGGCCAAAATCGAACTAAGTCAACCTAATGCTCTTTTGTTCTTTTACGAAGAAGGCAGCCGATGGCTTAAGGCAACCATAAAAGCGTTTTATGTCTTCTCACCTTACCATCCGTAAAATGAAGCAATAAGCTTATGGGTCGTTTCTGAGGACAAAGTTCAGAGGGTGATGGTACGATATTAGGGAGCAAGTACATAAAAAGCTTGAAGTCATGGCTAGGCATATTAATGTCAAATTATAATGGAAAATGACGGCAGGATTTTACTGTGGCTCTGCAATCTCTTTATGAAATGTCACAAAATATGCCTAGCCATGACTTCAAGCTCCTTATGTTTATTACACCCTTAGGTCCCACCAATTGAAATTTCAGTGTGGGAAAAGGCTCATTTTTTTCGAAAAAACCAGACTTTCAGGAGAAACCAAAAATACTGAAATAAAAAGAAAGAAAAAATTTGGTTGGCGGGTAGCCGGTGTTGGAGATAAGGTGAGAATACATAAAATGATTTTCTGACTAGCTTAAGTCATCGACTGACTTCTTCGGAAAAGTACAAAAGAGCCTAGGGCTGAAATCGAACTAAGTCAACCTAAAACTTCTTTGATTCTCTACGAAAAAGCCAGCTAATCAAAAAAATCGTTTATGTACTCTCCCATACTCAGGGGAAAAATAATCAAGCTTCGGCCGAAACAAATTCCGACGTCCATAAAGTGCAATGAATGATTCACCTTATGGGTGGTATAGCCCTCCTCCGACAAATATTATAACTTGTATTTTAATGGGTCTTATAAAAACATACCTCCCAGCAATCAGAGACTCGGAGGAATATATTTTGTATTTCTCTTCACCGGGACAATAAAACATTCATTTGGAGCCTCTCTCCACTCTTCCAAAAACCTACTGACTCTCTACCAGCATTCTCAAGCCTTGGCCGAAACACCTTTTGAGGTCCAAAAAATGCAAGAAATGAGAGTCCATAAAATGCAATGAATAATTAAACTTATAGTGGGTATAGCCCTCCTTCGACAAATATTTTTACTTGTATTTTAAGGGGTCTTATAAAAACATACCTTCCAACAATCAGAGACTATAATATTTCCCGGAGGCACCAATTTTTTACTTCTCTCCTCCTTTCTTTCGCCGAGATAAAAAAAATTCATTGGAGCCTCTTTTCACTTATCCAAAAACCTACTGACTCTCAACCAGCGTTCTCAAGGCTCGGCAGAAACCGAGTCCATAAAATGCAAGGATGTGAGAGTCCATAAAATACAATGAATGATACTCATTATGTCGGCTCATGTGCAAAGCAGCGTTGTCATTTAGAATTTTTTTTGGATAGTGAAATACAACCCTGGAGTGGAGAGTGGTAGGGATATGTAGGTGAACGTAATGAGTACGGAAAGATACTAAACGAATTATCAAATTTAGAAAAACTTTGATTCGCGTAGCCGGTGTTGAAGATATTCTGAGGGGAATTTTTCCCTCAGGAAAAGGAGTGAGAGGCCACAAAATACAATAAATGATACCCATTATGCCGGCTCAGGTGCAAAGCAGCGTTGCCATTTAGAATTTTATCTGGATAGCGAAATACAACCCTGGATTGGAGAGTGGTAGGGATATGTAGGTGAGAGTAATGAGTACGGAAAGATACTAATTTTATCAAATTTAGAAAAACTTTGGTTCGCGTAGCCGGTGTTGGAGATATTCTAAGGAGAAATTTTCAAGCTTCGGCCGAAACAGCTTCCAATATCCATAAAATGCCAATGAATAATTAAACCTATAGTGGGTATAGCCATTCTCCGACAAATACTATTACTTGTATTTTAATGGGTATGTAAACATACCTTCCAACAATCTGAGACAATAATAACTCCCGGAGGAATATATTTTTTATTTCTCTCCTCTTCACTTTCACCGGGACAAAAAACATTTATTGGAGCTCCTCTCTCTGCTTATCCAAAACTTACAGACCCTCTACCAAATGACCTTTGTTGAGCTGTCTTCTTCCAATTTTGCACTCGTCTATTTTCACAATTTTTTTTTTGTTCCACCTTGGCTCACTGTGTTCTGGAACGAACTGAAAATAACCACATCCCTGCAGAAGTTGTAACAGTCCGTTCCATATTGCACTCCAGGAATGTTGGTAGTTCTCATTATGTCATTTGTAGGTATAAAAATAAAATGTAAACGCCAATATTTGGTAGACCGACAAGTGAGACCGGTCCAGGAAGGTGTATTTTCTTATTGACTGAAGGTACTCCCTCCAGCTGAAATAACCTTGAATACTTAAAAAAACAAGTTAAAAAGTATCGATCGGTTTTATCTACAGATATACGGGTGAGATGAAAAAACTGCAACCAACTTCAGACTGCTGTCATTACTAAACCACTCTAAAATTAATTAATTAATCCAGTGACAGCTCATTATATTTTTTACAAGCGTACAAAAGCATTTTATTGAGAATTTTCCAGAAAAAAGTTATTCGTGATGGAATTCAAGCGTGATAGTGTGATTTCTTTATATTTGGCTGGAAAACCACAAGTGGCTATCGTTAGAGCACTCCAGCATTAAAATGAGAATAAATCTATTGTGTTCCGTACCATCGCTCGTTACCGTGATACTGATAGCCCGAAGTCAAGGAAGTGGACGGAAGAAAACAGCAACATCAGCAGAAATGTTTCGAAAAGTATAGAAGCGACTTGATCCAGATCCTCGTCGCAGTGGCCGAAAAATGGCTAGTGAGCTGATTGATATCGCAATATTTCAATCCGCAAATATTGAGAAATGAGCTCGGGGTAAAGTCATTGAAATTCCAAAAAGTGCAAGAACTTACACCGCAACAGAAAGAAAATAGACTCAGACTCAAAAGAGTTAAAGAGTTGCTTCGCTTGGCCGAAAGTGGTGAAATGGCGAATTTGGTTTTTGCCGAATATTATCGCGGAAATGTTCTGGAGGGTGTATTAATGCCTTGGGCAAGCAAACATTTTGGTCGCAGACCTTGGACATTCCAAAGGGACTCAGCACCATCGCACTCAGCACACGCGCCACCCAAGAATGGTTACAAAATGGCAACCACCAAATCTCCGAATATCAATCAGTTGGACTATTGTGTCTGGAGTATTTTGGAAAGCAAGGTTGGCACTAAAAACTAACAAAGTGTCGATCACCTCAAGCAAGCGCTTCACCTCAATCTAAACATATTTTAAAATTTGATGCTATTTATACCCTCAGCCATATGGCTACAGAGGGCATATATCATTTGATACGGTCAAAACGTGCCTAGGTCCCTTTTGACCAAATCCGTTTCAGAACATTTGGAGTCGATCTAGGGATGTCCGTCCGTCTGTCTGCCTGGCTGGGAGTGTCCGATCCAAACTTGGTACATCGTAATATTTTTGTCAAACTTAGATCGAGTTCGGAGATGGGCAATATTGGTCCACTCCTTCTGGTACCTCCCCCACAAATGGTCGAAATTTTCAAAAAATATATTTTTTTCCACAGATAGAGAAACGATAAACCGATTTTGCTCCAACTTTGCGAATCCTAATATTTGCGTCAGTGCTAGGTCTGGTGCGAAAATGATCGGTCCACTCCTTCTGGTACCTCCCCACAAAGGGCCAAAAATGTGATGTAAGAATCCGATTGTCTTCAAATTTCACACAACCCAATAATTTTATTGGCCCATGGTCTGGTGTTTAGATTGAGTATATGGATTCACTCCTTCTGGTACCTCCCCCACAAATGGTCGAAATTTTCAAAAGTATATATTTTCTGCACAGAAAGGGAAGCAATAATCTAATTTTGCAAATCCTAATATTTGCGTCAGTTCTATGGCAGGTGCCAAAATGGATAATATTGGTCCACTCCATGAAGTGCGTTTCCCACAAAGGTCAAAATTTTGAATAATTATAACCCTTAAAAAATGTGATGTAAGAGTCCGTTTGTCTTCAAATTTCACATATCCTACTATTTTTATTTTTATGAACCAAGATCTGGTAGTAAGACGGAATATATCGGTCCACTCCTTCCGGTAAATACCCCCCAAAAGGTCAAAATTTTCAAAAAAAATTTGCACAGAAGGGGAAACAATAATCCGATTTTGCTCCAACTTTGCAAATCCTAATATTTGCCTCCTTTCTCGGTCAGGTGCAAAAATGGATAATATTGGTCCACTCCATCAAGTGTCTCTCCCACAAAGGACAAAATTTTGAATAATTATAACCCTTAAAAAATGTGATGTAAGGATCCGATTGTCTTAAAATTTCACACATCAAAATATTTTTATAAACTCAAGATCTGGTGTTAAGATGGAATATCGAGCTATATCTATATTTGAACCGATTGTTTGTTTGTACTTTATCGTCTGAATATTCTTATTTGCAATGACGTTAACTCCCTGAATCTACTCCAGAACATAAAATTACAAATACCCCTGTACAAATTAATTTCAATTACCTTTACAAATGAGAAGAAAACAGAAACACGTCCTTCATCATGGGTTGATGTTAATTTTATCAGTTTTTTTCCCCAAAAAAAAAAAAAACTAATAGTCGACTTTCTTTGACTTCTGTTTCGAAATGCAGCGAACGTAATTGATTAAGTAAATAGACCTCGGGAAAAAAGACACAAATTTCCTTTTCCTTTGCCCAGATATCTTATCAAGTTGATGTGAGGAAACGTCGAAAACTTTTCTTGAAAATGGAGGGGAGTGTTAGACATTTTACCCCTCTCCAGATTTTCCTAATATGAATTGATGATATTAAATCAAAACAAATGTAAATATAAATGTTTCAGCGGTGGAGAGATGAGTTCATGTCAATCTCTAACTCTCT